AGTTACTGTAGTCTCCTTTTTGGGGGATAGTGATTTATATTGATGGGTGATTGTTTTGTTTCCCATATTTGTTAATAGATTCTGACTCTGTAGATTGTAGCAGTTCTTTTGGTATGTCGTCTGTTCCTGGTGATTTAATCCTCCTAATTGTTCTGAGTGCAGATTTCACTTCACCTTTTTTTTTAAAATCACATCATTGTATGTTTGCAAAATATACAGGACTAAAAAGTGCATATCTGAAAAAGGTGCATGCTTGATTTTTAAAAAATCAAATACTTGAAAAATGCTTGTTGTTCCGTACCTTCAAATTGTTTCCAACTTATGGTAACCCTAAAGTGAACTAATTATGGGTCTTCTTGGCAAGATTTGTTCAAAGGGGGTTTGCCTTTGTCTTTCTCAGAGTCTGAGAGAATGTGATTTGCCTACGGTCACCCAGTGGGTTTCCATGGCCAAATGGGGATTGGAAATTCCTATACTAGGGAAATGCATATATATATATATATATATATATATATATACACACACACACCAAAATATACATAGATTTCTGTGTGGAAACACAAAAAATCTTGCAGATGAATACAAACCTGGGACTGGATAAGAACACCAATGGGATGCTGTGAAACTCTAGGGGAAAAGAAATTGGCAGATTTCAGGAGACCAATTCTCCCGAGACACATGGCCTTTAAGGGGAGTCTGCTTCTGGGCAGACACAGCATTTCTGCTGGGAAACAAGGAGAAAGGTTCTATCTGAATAACTTTGTAGATATGTCCAATTTCTATGTGCTGAGAATGTTCATGTGAAAGGATTTTGCTATATGCTGTAAATAGGCAGAATTTAGAAATTTTACTTTTTTTTATACTTGCTCCCAGATTCTCTTGGCAGTTTATCCACTATACATGGCAGAAAGGGGATTCTGAGAGTTGTGACCCACAAAATTGATATTCCCAAGCTGCAAATAAAAATTTGCAATCTGTTGACCAATCTATACATGATGACAGAGATATTTAGTTGAATTCTATTGGCTAGTTTGAATGAGAATAAACATATATCACTTGTTAACTGGTGAGTTAGTGCATAGGCAAATGCCTCTCAGCCAGTGTGGTGCAGTGGTTTGAATGTTGGATTCCAGGAATCCAGGGTTCGAATCTCCACTCAGCCATGGAAACTCACCAGGTAACCCTGGACATGTTACACTCTCAGCCTCAGAGGAAGGCAATGGCAAACTTCCTTTAAACAAATCTTGCCAGGAAAGCCTCATGATAGGTTGATTTTAGAGTTACCATAAGTCAGAAATGA